CCATGTGAATACTTGTTTGGGCAGATAAAGGCCGGTTCACACATACAGCGGAGCGCTAAGTTAGCGCTACGTGAGCGCTCAAAGGAGCGCTCATGTGGCGCTTGCTGGCGCGTGATGTAGCGCTCTGTTAGCGCTTCAGAAGCGCTTTGTTAGCGCTCTGTTAGCCCTCTGTTAGCGCTCCAGAAGCGCTCTGTTAGCGCTCTCACGCCCCTTGTGCCGTGCTTGCTGCTTCTGAATAGCGCGTGCACGGCAATTCCTCGGATGTTGTTTTTCCTTTGGCATTGAAAGAATAGGAAGTAAAAGAGCCGCTCTCTAAGCAGAGGGTCGGGCAGGCGACCCAGAGTCATCGACTCTGAGCGACTAATTGATTGGGTACGACCTCGTAGCTTTCAATTCGATATGTGTGACGCTGGTTTCAAGGACACGCAGGTAAAAATAATCGCCTTCGAAAGAGCTCTGTGTCTCGGTACCTCAGCCTAGGAACAAGGTTCGCCGGGTACCCGTCGGTATCTCGGTGGCGAAATATTTCACGCACCCAGAATTCTCTTCTGGGAGTTAAGCCGTCCACACAGATATGCACTAATCGCGTATGTAAGAGCATTTGGCGCATTTCTATTTCAGCATCTCACATGTCCGCCATGGTGCTGCTGGTGCACACCCAATCAAAGGAACCGAAACTGCAGTGCACGCGCTAATCCGCAGCACCGCGGTACAAGAAGCGCTAATGACGCGCTAACACGGCGCTACTGAAGCGCTAACAAGGCGCTACTGGAGCGATAACTCGGCGCTACAGAAGCGCTAACAAGGCGCTACTGGAGCGCTAACAAGGCGCTACTAAAACGCTAACCACGCGCTATATTAGAACGAAGTCACGCGCTGGAAGCGCCACATGAGCGCTCCTTGGAGCGCTCACGTAGCGCTAACTTAGCGCTCCGCTGTATGTGTGAACAGGCCTTAAAGGGTGAGCGGAGATGGGCAGGTGGAAAACAAGTGTGAAAATTTTAAATTTAGAAACTGACTCCATAATACAGGCTCCACAGGTGTTGGGTGGCATTGCACCCAAAACCTACCAAGTAAAATTATTTCTTTACTGTTCTTACCTTTGTATGGCACCACCCACCCGCATGGGACATCTGTGCACGACGGGCTCTTCAGCTCAGCAACCGCGTACATCAGTCCTGCCACATGCTGGCATGTCTCGCTGAGTGTGTAAGAAGGGTATGAGACCAAGGTATGTTACTATCAGAGTACTGCCACTGGTAAGCACGGCAACGTTAATTTACACATCAAACTCTGAAGCGGTAGCTTGGCAATATTTGTCAGTTCTCCCATCTGGCACACGTGCCAGCTCTTTCTGCTAAGGATAAATAGCACATTGGAGTGATGAGATCTACTTTTGGGCTTGTGGCTCTAGACAGGGAGGGGGGAGGGGAAGAAGGAGGGAGGGAGGGAGAGAGAGAGAGCATGCATTTCTATGGGATTTAAAAAAAAAGCTGCCACATATGTGCTCAGGCATAGGACAGAGCCCAACACTTGTCTTTATGCTTACATAGCTTGTGCTTTACTGTACTGCACGAACCATCCTCGCAGCAATTGTCTAATGTTCGGCAAGATGAGCAAGCACTACAGGCTTGAGCTTCCCGCGTTGGAGAAGTAACACGACACTGACAGAACAAGATGCAGAGAGTCTGTTTTGGACACGATCGGCTTCCAGCAGGTGCTCATATGACGTAATGCGACGTCAGAGATCGTCTGCGTTCTGGTAACTTCGCCGCTTCGTGATCTCACGTGCGAACAGACGATTTCGGTTAACATTGCTCCACTTACGTCACCAATCGGGAGCACGCCGAGGCGCGCAGAGCCTCGGCGTTGTGCTTACAAGTTTGGCAAGGGAAGCGACGGAATCGAACGGTGAAAACAACATACCCAGCTGTGCAGCTGCAGCACGCATGAAGAACCTGGGGTGGCGTTCGCTCCATCATCACCACTTGTTTGTAGTGGCCAGGTTTCAGTGGGGGCACGCAGGTGCTCCGGGAAAAGCAGGTGTCTGCATCGTTGGGGCGCCACTGCACATTTCGGATGTTCCTCTCTTTTTGAAAGTTCCATCCTCGCGTGAGCTGACGGTTCGAGATGTCAGAACGCCTATCGAAATCAGACCGGACGTCTTCTCTTCCAAACGCAGGCGCGTCAACGAGGTCGTTCATCCAACCCGGCGAGTCCCACACGCTGAGCAGCGTACCGCACGTGGGAACGGGGCCGTTCATCACGGCGCTACCGCACGACAAGATCTTTGTGCGAATATATAAACGCGCAGATGTATACAAAAAAGAACAGCGAAGTAAGAAAAGTAAAAAAAAAAGAGAGCTTGGACACGATTAAACGAAGGTATATAACAGCCGGATCAAACATAAACAAGACTGAGCCCGCGCAAGCACCTCGGACCGTGGGAGGCTGGTTCGAGGGTTGGAGGCTGCCGGGTTTTCCTGCGGTTGAAGTTTTGAGAGAAACCGCTAGACGGCGCTCCTTACTGGAAAAAGGTGCATTGTTTTGCATTCGTTTTTGGCTTTCCTTTCTTCATTGAGTTTATTCTACTTTGCCCTCCCCTTTGACAGTGTGTTTTCTTCGTAACACAGAACTTGTTTTACGGCTGGCTCATATAAAAAATCGGTAATGTTAGGCTCTAATGTAACGTTCAACCATCCACAGCTCAATTTTATGTAAAAGTAAATAATTAATAATGAATAGATTGGAATTAATTAATAGGGATCGAGAGATTGATATCCAAGTGCAGGTGACCTCTTGGTAGCTTTTTCAACAGATGTTTCAACAGATGGAATATGTATGATGTCATGTTTATATGTTTAATCAAGGCACATGGGGCCTGCTATCTAGTTATAACCATATGAGGCAAATTCGATCACAGGGCCCCCATATTCTCAGCCTACATGAAGAGCAGCCAGAGTAGAATGCTGCGTTGCTATGGCTCCTACAAGGCAGACAAATGCCGTACGTATGCGGGCAGACGGAAAATTTGCGAAGCCTTGGTCAACCTGCGAGTTTTGGCAGTATTTGAAATAAATAAGTAAATAAATATGTGCACAAATGTTGGCAAAAACCAACATAGGATGTGTGTTTGTAATTTTAGACTCATGGGATTTTGCATACTGCACTTTGTGTATTACTACAATCTCGGATACTACAATTTAGAAGCATACAGTACCACATAGAGCATAACACACCAACACGCAAAGCTTAACAAATTCTATGCAAAGCATAACGTCCTACCATGCGAAGCTTACACGACCGCAGACACACATCGTATGCCAGTGTTTGCTAATCTTTGTGCACACACATTGTGTGCCCTTCAGCTTTGTTAGCATTACCAATACTTCACACACTTATTACGGGGATCGAAAGCCCATTACGCCGATTTTTAAATATTAGAATCGGAGCCTGGGAGCAACAATAAAGCCTTCTGGCTTTCTGGCTACACTGGAGGCAGCTCTGATCTCTTGCTCGTGAACAGCAGACACCGTTTGACCTCGTGGCACTTCATATCTGTATTTAATTTTTTTTTCTCAGAATCAGTTCTACTTATACTGTTTTATTCATCTAGCCAAGTGCCACCAGCGCTTTAAAGAACATGAACACAGAGCAGGTTGGCACAGATGACTTGAAAGATGAAAGAATAAAACACATAGGAATGGACACACACAGACAGGACAGTTCTTTCAAAGAACTGTTCTGTCTGTGTGTGTCCATCCCTATGGGTTTTATTCTTTAGTGTTTCAAGGCTTAAAAATGGTGAACCAAAATCTGGATTTCACCAAACAAGGCAGGATTGTGAGGCGGGATGCTACAACATCTGAAGAGAGGCACAATTGAGCCTCGCTTCCTCTGTGCTTCATTTGGCCTCCTTGCTGCACGCGCTGCCCGAGCTCAGGCAGTTGAGGGCATTTCAAGGGGGTGACGTGAAGCAAAGAGAGGTGTTGGAGCTCAATCGTGCCTTTCTTTTTTCAAAGATATGATCATCCTTTCAAGATATTGCTGCATGAATGACGTTTCGGAGTTTTTAGCATCCCTTGAAATCCAAATGTCAGATCAGGATTCCTTTAAAGCCTCTTATAAGAGGAGGGGGATCTTGGAAAGGAAATCGGGGGAGAGGTTGAGGAGATAAAGCTCCTTCTAGATGTTCACTAAATCAACTTCAGTTGTGCCAAACCTGGTTGCACTGTATTTGCAGATCAAATTGATGTGGCTAACTCCCAATGTCATATTTTTTCTGAAAGACTATTAAAGCGTTGAGGTAGAGTTTCAGACCACCCGTCAAAATTGAATGAAGATCTGAGATCCTTCCTGGAGCTTGCAGCCCCCTGACTTTTGAGCACCATCACCGCCGTTTGCATTATCCTTCAGTGATAATATAAATATTAGGAGGACAAATTATATTCTTTTATGTATTGATTGCGCATCCACCTGTCACTTATTAGGTTACTTGGTTCTGCATTTTTATGACAAGCTTAGTGCGGAAAAGCCACCTCCATCCTCAACTGCCCTAAATTAACCCTCAGTTCCCTGCTGGTGCATGCCAGATGCCCTTCGTTTGTTTGGGATGTGAGCCTTTAAATTTTATTTATGTTTTCATATATTGCCCTCTTTAGCCCTTGTTTTTAAGGAAAATAAAAGCTAAGTTGTATACGGGAATCTATAACACAGAACATAGACACAAACATTTGTCCTCTGCTTTATATACATCCAATTATTTCATTTAAAAATAAAGACAATAAAAAGTCACTTCTATGATCTATTTAGTCACCTCATAGTTTTAGTGGAGGCAGACTGCACAATTAAGCTGGTGTCCTCGAGAGTTATCAGCCGCAGTCAGTAACCTTTTCACAACAGCTAGGGGTATCTGCTGCATATAAGCAATTGATTGATTACATTAGAACTGCTGGTGATAATTTTTGTTCACTAAACAAGGTAAACTGTTGTTCTTGCAGCTCCTGCCATGGAGGTCGTCAAAAGCCTTGCAGCACTCTTGAAGGACTCTGCAGCTTGTCTTGTCGAGAAGGTATGATATGGAACTTCTTCCAATCTCTTAAGATTTCAGCCCTGACTTCTTTTGCTTTACAATGGAGAGAGCAGACAGAGGCAGGGAGCCGCTGCCACCCTTGCAAAATGCATAAAATGAGCACGAATGTATAGCAGGGGGCTCCAGCAGTTCTGACATAAATATATCAACAGACCTCTTGGTGCCTTACCGTCTGTGTACGTGCAAGGCCTACGTCACGTTACAAGAACAGTGATCAAAATACCGCTTACTTAAAAAGAGCAAATAATGTTTTCTCATTTAAGAAGGTAAAAAGGTTGAAGCTGTGATTCCGCCATACGACTTATAGTCACTCCTGAAGGAGCCAAGTAGGCTTTGAAACGTCGGGACTTCTTTTGACGGTTTTGTGGCTGTAGAATTCTCTTTTAAATTATTCCTAACATATTGTATGCCACTTGGACGAATGCAGATGTTAAGAAATTGCATTCATCCTACCTCCCAAGCTAGACTAGGTATGTCTTTCACCGCTATGGGCAGGGGCCAGCTGAGTTGGTAGTATTTGGAAGGTCCCCCTCTCCCATATTTTCTGCTACAATTGTTTCAAATGTCAGGCAGAAAAGAGGGGGGGGGGGCAACTGCCCCCTACCCTTGCCCCTTGTTCTGATGCCACTGGTAGGTAGGTGCAATATTGGGGATTGCCTGTTATATATAAATGCCACCCCTTATGACCGCCACTGTGTACAAATGAAAAAAAGGAAGAGATGTGGTTCAATTAAAACTTGTTGTTGCCCTAGTTGGTTCATGATGCAGTCTAGAAGCTTTTTGCGCGACACAAGGGACCACCACAAGCGAGCAGACACGGACAAGCGCACTTGTCCGTGTCTGCTCGCTTGTGATTGTCCCTTGTGTCACGCAAAAAAACTTCTAGATGTGGTTCATCTTTCTTTTTGGTGTAGCAGGGAAAAACGGGTTTTGGAGCAGAGATTCCCACTTTTGGAGCAAACAATTTTGAGCTTTCATGTCAGAAAGTTTTATACAATCTCTTTAAAAGTTAGCCCGTAGAAAAATCTGCAGTTGTTGGAGCATTGGGAGACTAAACTGTTATGCCTAAAGAAGACCTGGCCTGTACAGATATTTATTTATTTAATGAACAACCGTACGCTGGCAATTTTGTAGATGTCTCAATTAACCTGTTAAAAGCACCATTGCATCTTTGGTCTGTGTTTGACATAAAAATATGTTTTTGACTACTTTGTAGTGAGTTCGACATCAAACGGACACAATGCGTCTCACACTGCCCTCGCTCGTATTCAACCTGCTGCTGTCCATAGAGCAGCTAAGCAAAGCACATAGCTACTCTAACTGATCACAACGAGTAGCGCTAGCTTTTCATTGTAATCGATGTGAGCACAAAAACCGATTACTTTTCGCTAGGCATGTGCAAATAATGGATTTTTGGTTCAAAGCAAATTTAATGTGTATAGTGTTTTTGACCGAATATATCTGAATTGAATATTGAAGAGTATTTGTACCTTTCTCCATGCATTTTACTACTCCTACACCATGCTTAAAGACCAGCGACCAGTTCGCGCTTTCCACATTTCCCTCTACCCTTCCACCGTTGCCTGTTTCCTCCTCATGGGGGGGGGGGGGGGGGGGGGAGGGAGGATCATCTGCCTTGCAGAATCTCTCGAGTCTGGTCGTCTGCCTTTAAAGAAAAATTCAGCTGGACTCATGAAGGCTGTTCCTAACTGCCCACTCATGAGCTTTATATTTTTAGACCGTAGCCTCAGAACGTCCAGTACCTATATTAAGATGGCAAGTAAATGACAGATTTGACTTAAAATTAAACCTATAAAGGAGCACTAGCCATACCTAATTCATGAGATTAATAAATATTCCTATATAAAAATATTTTCTTCAGTTCTGAATTTAAAAAAAAACTCAAAACACAAATAATGAATCTAGGTTTTTAGAACATCGCTGCCTAACATGTACACTTGCATAACAGCCACAGCTACATTTTGAAGATTTTACTGCAGGTAATATCAACAATCACAGTGCACGTGCACCATACTAGTTTGAATGTGTGTTTTTCTCCTAAGCGCATGGCTGCGATGCGGCGAAGCGAGTCTCAAGATCGCTGTGTCCGCTTTGCGGGTATTGCTTCTCCGCAGTGCACCTGTGCTTGAGAAGAAGCGCGCTCAAGGGGGCTAACCCGCTGCGATCAACACGACGAAAAGTATGAATATCGCAGGAAATTTTCAAATCTGTTCATTTTTTTTTTAATTGGTTTTCTTAAATGCTCTCTCTGCAGCCCAGAAACACTAGTCTAAGCTAGTGTTTCTGAGGGTCCGGTAAAACATGGACCACATTTAAACAAAGAAATAAAAGTGCGAACATTTTGTTTCCGTACCCCTTTAATACTGCTGAGTCTCCATTTAAGTATTCATTCTTCACAGGAGGACGGACAAGACCGAGCGACGTATCCGGTGATGCGGACCGACGAGGACTCAAGTGCAACAACTGTGGTGTTGGAGGACCACTCTTTTGAGGTGACGGATATTCTGGCTGGTACAGCGCTCGTTCTTGCACTGTACTGGGTCCATGACATTTCCTACCGTCCAAAAGCAAGCCGTTCACTTGCAGTGATCGGGCACTTCATTGGTTTGAAGTACAAGATAAAGTCCATCTTGGCTTTGGATCTTATTACAAAGTTAGAAACTTGTTAGAGAGAGTAAATTTGTGTGCCTCTTTTTTTTTTTGCCATTTGCAAAAATTAAAATATTTGTTTATTGAGCTGTATCCAACTGTTTTTATTCTTTCAATGCTGTCTTTTCGTGAGAGCCTATAGCCTCTGAACATGCTCATGCTCCATCTTTTATATCATTTTTCAGCTGCAGTTCCACATTTCCTACTTTACCATCCCCTTGTATACATAAGCACATCCACTTTTAGATTTTAGGGCAACTGTTTATTGCAAAATACTTGAGTTGTCCCTAGTTGTATGCAACAGCTCCTACGATAAGGCCCGAAATATTTCACATTACAGGGAACTCAAGGGAGTTATTGAAATTCCACAAAATAGTTGCAGCAAGAAAAGTACAGTGGTCGCACATCAGCAGGATAGAAATTCCACTTGCCAGTAGTGTTTATTCATTTTTTCCAGCACACTTTTGACCAACAAAGCATCAATTTTACACTTCTATTCTTCTAATTCTGTTTTCAGGCGTACACATTACATTTTACTGGATTAACTTCCGCTCAACAGCACAATAAAAACAACAGCGGAGTTTGTGTGACCCCTTCCGGAGAGTGTGTTTAATTATTTTATACAAAGTTTAGGCAACACGTCAAACGGGGCTGTACTTTACACAATTCTTTGTGTAGAGTAGTTAACTCTATTAACTCTCGGAGAGTTAAGCACTCTCCTAGAAGGGGTCACACAAACCGCTCAAGTGTGCTGTTATTTGACATTAACCCTTGCTAGAGAGCATACTGAACTTTTTAGTACGGAGTGTAGGCAACACTTCTAGTGGAGTTGTATTTACTCTCCACAAAATGGTTATATCAACCCTTCCTGGAGAGCATGCTTAATTCTTTAATATAGAGTTTAAGCAACACTTCTGATGGAGTTGTAGTTACTCTGCACACACAAGTGAAATCAACTCCTCCTTGAGAGTTTTTTTTAACTCTTTAATACAGAGTTTAGACAACACTTCTAATGGAGTTCTAGTTACTCTATACAAACAAGTGAAATCAACTCTTTTGGGAGAGTATGCTTAACTCTTGAATACAGAATTTAGGCAACACTTCTAATGAAGTCGTAGTTACTCTTCACGATGGAGTGAAGGTAACTCTTCCTGGTGAGTAAACATACTCTTGAATATAGAGTTCAGGCAACTCTCTAATATTTGAGTTGAAGTTACTCTACACGAAGGGGTGAAGATAACTCTGCCTGGAGAGCATCCTTAACCCTAAAAAAAGAGTTGAGGCAACACTTCTGATCGAGTTATAGTCACTCTACACAAAGGAGTGATATGAATTCTCATCAAACACTTCCTTATGGAGTTATAGTTACTCTACACAAATGAGCGCGTTTAACTCTCACACTTACACATCAAAAGAGTGGTCGTGACTCTCGCAAAAGTATTAGCGTGACTCTCTATTGAAGAGTTAAATGAACACTTGCATGGGGGAGTTAAACTTACTCTTGTCGTTGAAGAGTAACCGTTACTCTCCATAGTGTGGTTTGCGACAACCCGGATACTCTCCAAAAAGAGTCGAGTCGACACTTGTCGACTCCTTTTTTTCTAGAGTGTAGCGTGTGCCGACCTAGGCTCATCTTAACTTTGGAGTAAATTCGCGGCGCGTCCCCTGTGGGAGACGGGGGTGGCATCCCTGTAACCCTTTCCACTGTATCTGTTTCGGCTCTGAAATGGCCGATTGAAGCCAAAATAGATGTTAGGCGCACTTCCTCGAGTGACCGCTGCAGGGTAAATGGTGGCGTTGTGATCGCCATTCGGCACTTCAGCTGGGCTCTTTGGAACGCATAGTTATGAAACGAAAATATAGATGGCGCTTCGAACGACGCTAGGCGGATTGAAGTGAGTGAGGGAGGGTACCCCCATCTGCGGGAGTTCCACGACTGAGGTAATCTAATAATGTTGGCAGGGGGTAGCAGTGACGTCAGAACGCCGAGCCCTGATTGGCTGATCGGGACCCCCTATCTGAGCGTCGTCTGCTCCTTTGCAACGTCGTCTGCTTGCAACGTCGTCTGCGTCTGTCTTACGTTTCCGGCGACTTTCGGAAATGCAGGTATTTACGAGCCAGCTCGGCTTCACCTTTCAGAAAGGGCAGACGAAATAACTCGAGCGGTACGTTGTTTTTGCCTAACAACTAGCAGACGCGCATCAAGGAGAGAAGTCAAAAGACTCACTGGCGAGGTGTCCCGAGGCGCCGAGGTTTCTTTGCTAAGAACCGAGAGTGAGGGTGGCTAGCGTCCGCAAGTTCCCTCCCAAATACTTTTTCCCTCCTTTCGTGTGCGGCGAGACTCCTCACTCTTTAACGGCGTTGGCGGGTCGGCGCGGTTGGCGCAGTTAATGTCGTCTGCTTTACGTCTGCTAGTCAAAGCGATGGCTGCTTTACCTTCCCTGCGTCTGTCGGAGATTCACCGCTTTTTCCCCAGCGAGAACGCGGCCTTCGAAAAAGATTTGTGTTTGTCCTTTATCATTCTTGTCCAGCTCGCTTGCACCTTCACATTTAATTGCATTATAACAATATTTACTTCTTAATGTCAACGAGTCTCCGACATAACTTCCGTGATACGTTTGACGCCGCTCGGGTAGCTCGATCAATCTTGCTCGGATTCTCTTCCACAAATTAGCACAGGTTCTCGAACTTTTGCCACTTGGGTTTACGCCACACATACATACCCCAATACGCTAAATGACAACAGTCTTTTAATCGAGCGAGAAAGCTGTGACAACAAGCAGCGATCGAGCACTTTTGGGCTATGATGTGCTCACAGTACCGATCGCACAGCCGCATTTGTTTATTTACAGTCACTACATCGGCTGTCATCTGTCTTTAGCTGATTATCTCTGAACAACTCATTAAACGCGAGGCACCATTCACGAAGCTCGTGCAACTAAACGTTTTAGCATAGCGACGAACATGGTGTTCACTTCTTACCTGAGCGATCGACCTGCCGCGGCATGCTGCTTTTGGGGCGTTGCAGCCACTGTTGTGGTAAATCCGTCTTGGACAGCACATTTAGAGCCGCGTAAAGTGCGGTAGCCACCATGTGGCTGCACTTTGCGGCCCCGCGAAGGCACTCATAGTGACTCTCTAAAATGTCACCCTTATCCGAGAGCGTCACCTTTACCGCGTAGCTACGATTCTTAAACGACGCCTAGACATGAGTGAAATCCTTCACCTCAAAAGGAATAACGTTTACTTCAAGGTATTTCCTTTCGCCTTTTTCGAGGGCCGCGCTCTCGCTGGTGAAAAAGCGGTGAATCTCCGACAGACGCAGGGAAGGTAAAGCAGCCATTGCTTTGACTAGCAGACATAAAGCAGACGACGTTAACTGCGCCAACCGCGCCAACCCGCCGACGCCGTTAAAGAGTGAGGAGTCTCGCCGCACACGAAAGGAGGGAAAAAGTATTTGGGAGGGAACTTGCGGATACTAACACGCTCACTTTCGGTTCTTAGCAAACAAACCTCGGCGCCTCGGGACACCTTGCCAGTGAGTCCTTTGACTTCTCTTCTTGATGCGCGTCTGCCAGTTGTTAGAAAAAAACAACGTGCCGCTCGAGTTATTTCGTCTGCCGTCTCTGAAAGGCGAAGTCGAGCTCGCTCGTAAAGACTTGCACTTCCGAATGTCGCAGGAAAAGGAAAGACAGACGCAGACGACGTTGCGAGCAGACGACGTTGCAAAGGAGCAGACGACGCTCAGATAGGGGGTCGCGATCAGCCAATCAGGGCTCTGCGTTCTGACGTCACCGCTACCCCCTGCGCAAGAAGCAGACGAACTTGCCCTCCGCATGGGGAGAGTGTCGTCGAAGACCTTAGGAAAAAGACATCTAGTTGGCGCCAGGCGCAACCACAATTTGTCCATGTTTGCTCACGCGACTGTTTGCAATGTATTTTTAACTGCAAAGCTATGGTATGTTCTGCAGGTACGAGGAGCTGCATCCAGAAGATGCGCAGAGTTTTTGCGCTCTTTGTTTGGTTGTTGGATAGGGAACCCATGTGCCGTTGTAACCTTTTCCGTTGAGTCTCCAAAGGAGGAGTCAACCTAAGCCTTTTTTTTTTCAAAAAACTGTTTTTCGTTTTATATTTTTGCGGGATCAACAGAACTCACTGTTGCCAGTTATGATACAAACCCGACTACCAGAAGCGCTACCGTCTTTTGTTATAACTTCAGAGTTTGGCCCCCCTGCAAAACGCGTTGGCTTCGGAAAGGAGTTTGTTGATTCTTTTTTAGTTTTTGAATGTAAGACTTTCGCGTGAGTATCTGGCGACTGTCACGCGTAAAAGACTGACGCGAAACGTTCTTGTTGTCCTTTTCCTGTGCCACTGTACCGTTTGCAGTACGTCTCAAGACCTGGACAAGATCTACTAGCCCGTGTTAAGAGAAGGTGTATGCCGCCGGCTGTCAAAACGTTTTTCTGTCGACTGCACAGCTCCAATTTGCCAGTGAAGGCTTCAGGAGCGTGGGTTGTACGTCCCTTGGGGCGTAAACTGCCTGCTTTGCCGACTGCCGGAAACGATTGAGCACGTGTTCTTGAACTGTTAGGACGGTGTCTTTTTTAGGGCTGTTTTACAACGTACCCTGAAAAACATCTGTGCGTTGACCATTTTACAATTAAGTTAACGAGCCATATGACTTGTTTATGGCACTAGGGCTGTACAGTTTATGGCTGTCACGCTTGCCGGTGCGATACATTGAATTTCAACCGATATTGTCGTACGTATTTTTTATTGAGCTTGTAATTCAGGTAAAAAGTGTATTTAAAAAAATGAGACCCCGCCTGAGTGGATTGACCTGCTGTGTATGCTATTAGGCATGAAAGAGATTTAGCGCCGCCAACGGGCCCAAGTAAGGGCCCTTGTTGTTTTAATCTTGTTTGTTGTGTCTGGTGTGTTTTGTATGTTCGCACAATAAAGAAACAAAAGAGCGCTTATGGCCGAATAGTATCGTTCTTGGCTCCCACGCCAAGGGTCGAGGTTCGATG